GCTACTGCTGGTCCCACCGTGTGCGAGCCGAGCTAACCGCATTTCCCCCCCCTCCTCTTCTCCTTCCTCTTCTCTTCTTCCCCCTTCCCTCCCTCTTGTCTTTGCAGCAAATGGAGCTGCTTCTGGTGAATAAGCTGAAATGGAATCTGGCTGCAATGACCCCCCACGATTTCATTGAACATTTCCTTACTAAAATGCCTCTGGCAGAGGACACCAAGCAGATCATCCGTAAACATGCTCAGACTTTTGTGGCTCTGTGCGCTACAGGTATGAGCCCTGCACGTTAAGCAAAGCGTGTTGCTCTCCCCTACACGCACCTAACCCCGGGCTTGTAAAGCTTCCCGTAGCTGTGGTCTACCGCCAGCTCCCAGAGCTGCGGGGAGGTAGTTTAAACCCCGATTATTGCCCCTTGTTGTTTGCAGAAGGTGGATTACTTTGCAGAGGTAAGTTCTTTTTTTCAGAAGATATTTTGCTTCCGAGTTGAGTTACGTGGTGGTGTTCAGGGAGGGAGAAGTACCCCCCCGCCCCCTTCTTTGTAGCTTAGCCGTGGATGGTACGATTTCTTCACCCCTCTGCACCGGGGTTCACGTGGGGGCTGCAAAAGGCCGACTGCCCCTACGGGGAATCCCTCCCCGCGTGGATTCATTCTTGAGACAGTTTGGAAAGGCGGAAGGGAGGTTTCGCTTGTGTGAATAGCTCCGCGTGGGGGGTTTTAAAACTTCCCTCTTCAAGTTGCCTCTTCCCCCCACTCCCCCCCCTCTCCTTCTCCTCCTCCTCCTCCCCGCTCCTCGGTGGCTGGTGGATTGGAGGAGGGCCACGCGGCGCCGAGGCTTTCCTGGCACGGGACCCAGCCGCTGCCATCTGCACCCTTCGGACCACGTGCTGCGCCGAAGCCATGTGCGGGGCCGGCCTCCAAAGACGCCGACTGTTGGCCGGCCCAGGTTTGCAAAGGCCTGATCTTTGGTTTCAAGGGCACCGTGCGCGCGCGAGCGAGCGCTGGTTCTTTTGAAGTTCCATGTTTGCATGTGGACTGTGTGTGTATGCATTTGTACATGTACCGGCTTTACCCGCTGAACCCTAACGAGTGGGAAGGAGAAAAAAAAAAAAAAAAAGGTTGTAGAAGAGTCTTTCTGTTCTCCAGATCTCGCTGTTCCCACAGGACAGAGTGGAGGAGCAGGGACAAAAGAAGCTCTAGAGGGAAGATACTCTTTAAACAAAATGTGTTCAGCGCGTTTTTAGTATGGCGAGACCGATCCGGGGATGGCAAAAGAATAAGGAAGAAAAAGCAGCCAAAGCAAATGTTCTTTTGCAGTAGCATGTAAAGAGGAATGCCAGACGCTCCGTTGACACTGATAAAAACTTAGTGTAAAGGAGATCCAGTGCTTTAGTAAATGTTAATATTCAGGAGCAGTTGTGCTAAAAAAAAAAAGAGATCAAGCCTGCATTTCGACTTGAGAAGAGGTATCCACGCTTGAAAACCTCAGTGGGATGTGTGTGGTCAATGGCACAAATTAATGTTGTGTAGCTTATTTTCCAGAGATGGATTTGGTAAAAAGATTGAAGAAAGATTGCAGGCGCTTAGAAGAAGAAAAATTTATTTGACAGAATCTGCCTTACTGCAAGGCCTAAAGATAGAACAACCAAGCCATAAAAGAGAAACTTATAAATACCGGCATTGCTCTTCATCTTGGGCCGAACGTCAGCATAACGGGTAGCTCATAAATTAGATTGCCTGGAATAACGCTCGGTGTTCGGAGCGCTACAACCTTCAAACAGCCTTCAAACTACCTGCAGCAACATTTTGGGAAAATCAGCCGTAACCCTCCATGCCAGATTCTACTGAGATAAGGCTGCTGCGACTCCGAATGCGTGATTTGCTAAGTTTGACGCTTCCTCGGCTGTTAGCTAAAAAGAACGGCTCCCGGGCCTCCCCGTTGGATATGGGGATGTTTAACCTAGGTTGTTGTGTTGGCAATGACAGGGATGAAAACAAGAGTAGTTCAAAGGTTGGAGACTTGCTAAGAGTCCAGTACTTTGATCTACTGTCGGTGTTGTTATGTTTCTTTTAGGAAGCACATCCAGAGCCTTTATTTAACACTGCTACACACCACAGCTGGAGAATGGATCAGTAAATGAGAACCATGTTCTGGGAGTTTTACTTAGCTTTTAAAAAAACCAGTGCTGAGCTCACCAGAATTGGGGCCCTCTTCAGCTCCCTACTGAAGTTGGGAATATTGCCTGGGGAAAGAGCGCTCAGGAAGGCTGCCACTAGGCTCTGTATTTTTATTGTTATTTTTGGATGTCAGGATTTTCTCTACCTCTTGCTTTCCTCATGACTCCTTTGTTGGCTAGTGAAGATCACATGTGGCTTAAGTAGCATCTGGACTTTGCTTTGCTGTTGCTGGGTTGTGTTGTATTTCCCCTTGCCAAAATGAACCTAGATGGACTGCAAACGCGTTGTGCTGCCTGGATGCTGTGGGGCCCAATCCAAAGTCCACTGGAAACACTGACACTCACTTAAGTGGCCTCAGGGGCAAGTGCAGCATATCCTTTGCTTGAGGTACAGCCCGTGTCCTTTACTGCAAAGGAGGGTCTCCTAAGAAGAGACGGCAAAATAACGCTTTGCTTAGAAAATAAAATCTCCGCCAGTTGGCTTAACAAGGTGAAGGCTGTGGAAGTGTTTGTAGATGAGCGTGCGTGTGTTTGCTCCAGAAAGAGAAGGTTACGCTGCAAGGTGAAGTTGAGGGGAATTCCTTCTAAGCTCCCTCCTCAGTCGGCTGGCTAGTAGAAGTGGAGTTATTTGATTTGGTTTAAGTTTTGAAAAATCCATTTTCACCAAAGGATGTCTTTGTGCTGTGGTAGGTTCGGGAGAAAAGGCAAAAAAAAAAAGTAAAATACAGCAAGCAAAAAAAATTACCAGGGGTTGTTTGAAGTTAACACATAATTGAGCTTAATGAATGGGGCTTTGGCATGGCCGAGCAAGGCAGGGAGAGCTCAAAAGGAAGCAGGCCTCTTTTGGCCCAAGTTAAGACCAGTGTTGAGGGAGAACTGCAGCTCTATACAAGCATAACAATGAATAGCAACAAATATTGGAGCTTCAGCATTTCATTATGTTCCTCTGGTTATCAAAACATACCAGGCTCCTTTTATATTATTATTATTGCTATTATTATTATTGTTGCTTTCCTCCTCGATGGAGAAAGAAAGATCCCCCTTTGAAACAAGCGTGTTACAATTCTCCTATTCTGTGGCCTTTATAAAATTGGAAGTCTCAAGGTATGTGACCAGTTGGAACCTGTTGCATCTTGCAGCAAGTGATTTATGTTCGCAGTTTTGATTTGCCTCAATGAAAAGATTTTCATTCATAGCCCCCAGCTCTCCAGACGGATGGAATTGCTGCTCCATTTAAAAAGGAAAAGGGGTGACTCGCCTTGTTAGGAATTTTTTTTAAAGCGCTGCAGCGCCTATATGCCTGCTTTGTCCTCCCTTCAGGGTGGCTGGCATTCTTCTCTCTCCTCCCCCTCCTCTCTCTCTCTCTCTCTCTCTTTTTAACAACGCTGAAGTTGTTTATTCTTTTTGGATGAAGTCTCAGATAGGCTACTGGGGATGTGTGCTTCAATTGATGGGGCCCCCTACCCCATTGTGGCTGTGTCAGGTCTAATTCATCTCACCGAAGCCCCCTTGTTCCTGAGCGCTCAATAGCGCAAGATGAGGCGATGGAGGCTGACAATGATGCCACACTCTTCACTTGGGGGCATCCAATTACAGGCGAGAGGGGCCCCCTGATTAATATGCTGAAATTAGTGGCCTCTGCCACAAATAATTCCTTGTTGAGTTGCAACAAAAAGGCAGTCCATGCTGCTTGTCTGGAGTGGTTATAGGGACAGACACAAACTGGTCATTTAAACTTCATTATCACTTTTCCACCTTGGAAAGAATGAGGGTGTGACTATGAATTCATGTTCTTGTTTACTGCTCCATTTAAAAGAAGAACGCAAATATTAATCCCAAACGTGATCCTGTCGGGCCAGACTCATTAAACTGACACATTTTGGTCATGTTCTGTTTGTGGAGCTCAGTAAATAGTGGCGCGAACGCGCTGCCACCGTACCCTCTCTGGGCAACCCAATCTTGGTGGAGTTCGTGCTTGCCTACTGAAATCCCTCATGCCTGAAGTCTACCTGCAACTGTCTGTCAGTGTTTCAGTGAGGGGACTGGCTTTGGAATGTTTATAGTGCCAATAAGCAGTTTGGACTACTTTGAATTTTGGGAATGACACAAGCTTGCTAGAAGGTGGGTGTATTTATGTATCTGCCCGGAAATGGGCAGATTAGGAAAAAGGGATAAACTAAAATTTATTTTAAGCCTGGTAACATAAACGAGATGACTGTAGATCAGGCTTGCCTTTTCGCTGGCAGTGCGTCACAAAAGTTTGGCCACAATTCATCGTATCAGTTTAATGTTGAAGGTTCATAGAACGATGGGCAAAATGCCCCTTTGAAGGTGGGTATTGGTCTGGGCTACAATGGAGTGTCGGAGGTATATGAATAGATTCAGAGAGCAGGCTTTCCTAGAGTCCCAAAGTCTTTAGTTTCACTGGTAAAACATTTACACAAAAGTTATTTTATCATAATAAAGTAGATGCATGATTTAATACTTAAACTGTTCCACTGAGCCCTCTAAGCTGTCCATTCCTTTGATTTCATTCAAGGGTTTGACAGATGGTTTATATTTTTTCAACCCAGAGGAAGTTGTATTCTGATAAAAGCTGAAGGAATGTATCTCAGGTTCTTGTGTATAATGTGGCATTTCCCTTTCTTCCTCACAAAATTAGACCTTTACTTGTGCCACTTACTTCCTTTGTTTCTGATTCTCCTCCAAGGTGTACACTGCCGCGGATCAAACGCATTCCTGTTCAGCAGAAAGAGCCTTAGCATTAAAATGTGGATTATTTTATTATTAAAACAACAAACCAAAAAAACATACCCAAAACAGGCTAAGTGGCAGAGATAGCCCCTGAAGGAATCATGGGAGTGGCTTTGTGGAGAGACCTACAGCAATGCAGTCTGGAAGGGGGCCCAGCCTCTTGTCAGCATGGTGTCACATCAGAATGTAACTGATTGTCCGCCAATTCTTGGGACCCCCGTCACTTAGTTATGCCACATTTACATTAAATCCCTGTTGCCAGGATGGATGGCAGCCACTGACAAGAGACTAGGTTGAGACAAAGCATTTTTAAGATGAAACCTTAATTTAAATATGGATTATCTGCCTCCTGACAGGGTTAAGCGGTCTTTCTCCTTCTTTCTTTTTGTTGATGTTGTTGTTCATTAAAGCTATATTCCTCTGAATGTCCGCGCGAAGGTTTCTGCTTTAAAGGGCCTGCAGGCTCCTTATTGGGATTGCACCTAGGATCTGATCATGCGAAACGCTTAAGAATGCGAACAGGTTTTCTCAGATGCATAGCGCCATTGACCCCAGTGGCATTATTCACATGAGCAAAGTATTTTAACATTCGAAGAATGGGGGCCCTGCTTATGATAAAAATACCTCGGAGTGATGAATGGCCTCCCAGGCGCAGCGCTAGGAAGGGCTGCTCGCTCAAGTACAGTTGCTCATGTGGATAAGCGTTTACAGGTTTGGACCTGTAGCACTTTAGAGCAGGAGGCACCTTTCTGCTCACCGTTTTCCCTACCTTTTCGGATGCAATAGTTGGCAGCTGAAGCCATGCTAGTAGAAGAGCGTATGTGTATGGGCAGGCTTCTCCTAAAGCAATCATTTCAGTCTTTTTTTTTTTTTTTTCTCTCTCTTCTTTCTTCATACAGATATTAAATTTATTTCAAACCCACCTTCCATGATCGCAGCTGGCAGTGTGGTAGCAGCTGTGCAAGGCCTGCATCTGGGGAACACTAACACTTTCCTCTCCTATCAATGCCTCACACATTTCCTATCACAAGTTATCAAATGTGATCCGGTAAGTGACTCTTTCTCTCGGTTGATCTCCTGCCTTAGAGTTTAAGAATGAATGCCTGCTTACTGCATAGTAGCTAATCTGACAGTAAATCTTGATAAAAGTCAAACCTCCGAGTGGGGTTTTTGAACGTGTTCGCTTGTGTCCGTCATAGTTATTTAGCTGTCATTATATCCATTAATAATCGGTGATTACGCTGCTGCAGCATGCTGATAGGAATGCCACATCCAGCTCTGATGTTTGTAAGAGAGGCGTATCTGACAAAGCAAAGGAAACCCCGCATCGATTTAGGACACTGCAGAGGCTGTGTTTGGTTGTAGGTAATTAAACCAGGAGTCAATGTAAAACAAAACTTTGAAAATAAGACGAGGAAACAGTTACCGAGACCTCGTGGTATCTCTGACCTTATCTTTGACCATTCTCGAGGCCTTTTATTGTGCCAAGTGGTGTGAAAAAGCCCTTCTTAAAAGAGTTCTAATGATCTAATTTGGTTTATTACGTGCTAGACCTGCACAGTAGCTGGTATTGAATTCCTTTTCGGAACAAATGCTTGTCCCACGACTTTCTGACAAGGTAGATGGTCCTCACAGGACTCTCATTTTGCCCTGCAGCTTCCAGGAGATGCACATCAGTAACTAGTGAGCAATAAAGCTTTCATGAGTGAATGGGCCAGGAAGGGAGCCTACAAGGAAGACCTAAAGTCAATGATCCATGTCATAATGGTGTGTGAAGTTGGGGCAGAGTTGAGCTTTGTTTTGTAACAATGTGGAAGACCAATAAATAGATGCTTTAAAAAGGTTCTTGTGAGGTCTCCAAGCGCTGGACAATGACTCAAATAAAGACAACGCTGTGGTTAGTGGCAGAATCTTTGAGATGCTGTTAAATTATTTTACATGTTAATAATTTAAATACATAGAGAACTGTACTAGTCCAGACACTGCAAAACTACGTTTGCATAATTGGACTTTGTTGACAGGATTGAGCGATTTCTGGAAGGATGAATGCATCATTAATTAATTATTCACAAAAGAATATTTTACTTTTGATAGACTATGTGAAACAATTGCTGACAAATATGATATCTCAGCTTATTATTTTGATTACCGTAACAATGCCTCAGTATTGAGCACGCTACTTTTGCCATTTATATTAGTGCAGCTAAAGTAATACGGACCCAGTGCTGAAATGTTAAATACTATAAGAACTTCAAATGCTGAAATAAAACGCTGCTCTGTTTGGTATGTACGTGTAAGGCCTTTAGTCAGTTTGTGAACAATGTAGATATTTCAGTGTATAGTTGGCCGCTCTCCAGGGAGAGATATTTGAAGCAGGTACTGAGGAAAAATACTAGGCTCGCTATCTGCTCTGACAGTATCTGATTCAAACAAAAACATTATTTAATCATTCCCGATACAAAGCATTGAAGTAGATTCTCTCACATCTTTGAGAACAACAGCATGTCCTTACATGACTTGACTTAGTTGAGGACAGAGCTCTTTTAAAAGAAAAGAAAGTAGTTTTAACAAGACGGAGAATCCTTGCTTATTTCTTTTGTATTATCCAGAGTCATTGCAAGGCCATAATCTGTTTAACCTGAACACGAGAGGTTTAAAAGGGAGTAACTCCCCTCCAGGTTTCGTTGGTAAATATATTCATGTGTTAAGAGCAGCTAGAGTTAGACGTGAGGTTTTTGTAGAGGTTGCTACAGAAAATAAGCATCATAGAATTATACCTATGTATATGTACACTGTTGGGTTTGTAATGGTGTAAGGGAACAGCATTTTTCACTACTATTAATTTGAGTAGAGAAAACTGCTTGGCTTCATACGTAGCACGATTCCTCCACAGAGAGAAATTCCCGTAAGACCTGCCTATGTAATCATCAAATGCTGTTCCTCTTAGCTTATTTCATTAGCAGGTATATGAAGTTTGTTACGCCACAGTGATGGTTCCCCTTGTCAGACAGCACAAATGAATACGCTTTATATTGGATTGTCGTGAAATATTAAGAGCGTGCATTATAACATGGCTAACATTCTCCCTGATTATCTATTAGCTAGAGCAGCTGGTCTGTTGGATTTCAGGTTATATAATTACACTTTTTTACCTTTAGTCTCAAAGAAAGCTGAATCTGAAGTAAAATGAATAACACCTGATTGGAATTCCTTTATGGTTCATGTTTACGTTGGTAGGAGTCCAATTTCCCATTTTGCCTTTGATCAGGGGTAATTAGAAGTCAGATAATCACAATTAGAAGTCTTGGGCTGTCTTCCATCATTCTATTCTTGACCCCATCATCCAAACAGATTGAATTTTACCTGACATTCATTTCCAGGCCAGAAATTTGCTAAACTAGATTAGATTGGGTTTCCATGCTGTCTGTTAGTACATTGGAATTTGTCTCCTGCCTGCCCCTACTCAGAGGCACCTTCAAACATGTGCTTGTTATCCAGAACGGGTCAGGCAGTAACAAAGGATTTCCAAGCAGTTTCTTTTTTGTTGTTGTTTGTTTCCTTTAGTATCTGACCCTGGAGTCTGATCATGTCTACTGTGTGTGTTAAAGGTATTTGACCACATCAGTTAAGCTAGCAAGTCTTTTTTTTTTTTTTTTTTTTCCACTGAGGAGCTTAATTAATCCAGGAAGGGTTTATGACCTTGAACAAACTGTGGGCATTGAAAATTTGGGTAGTGAAGCAGAAAAGTTGTTGGGAGAAGTTATCAGAGTAATGCACAAGTTTTGTGTTTGCTTTTCAGTGTTGAGAAGTACCGAGAAGGGAAAAAGCTTTGTTGAGGTTGTTATATTTTGCAGTTATTTTTGCTAGCTCTAATACATTCCTGCAGACAAACTATTCATCTAATAGTCATCTGAATAAGAAGTGATTTGAACAAAAATGCCTAAAACATTACAAAAATATTGTTCGTTTAACTGTAACTTAAGACATAGTCTGTTCGTAATAAATTGTAAAGATTATTATGTTTTAAAAACACAGAGTTACAACATGCTGTACTCGGAGAATCTCACAGGAAAAAAAAATTATGTGGTCAAAAATTACCTTTAAATTAATAGTCCTATGTAATTATTCATGACTGGACTCCAGAGGGAGAAGAATAGGTATTTATAGAAATTCTTTTGAATGGTTTTAGTTTTCAGAGCTCAAACATGAGCAATATGCAAATAGTAGGATTAAAAAAAAAAACAACACAAAACCCCCCACCAAAGCCAAAAGAAAGAAAGAAAAAAAAAAAGCAAACAGGGTTCACTTTGCTCTGAAAATAAATGGGCTTTCAGTTTGGAACCATGCAGATGCTACCTTGTTAAAACAGAATTACCCTCAGAAGTGCCTGGATTTGTAAAACCGAAAATACCTAAACCTGTATTCATGTACTACTCTTCAGTACATCTAATTCCAAGCGTGACTGAGGTACGTGGTACAGGACATGCGAGTAGAAGCCCTACAGTCAGGATTGATCCGTCATATCTCGAGACGGGGTGAAAGGACTTCATAGAGACCTTATTGTGAAGGCCAGAGGTATGCAGGAGCCAAAGGCATGATGACTTTAGGATATGAGGCGTTTCTTTTTGTCATTTAAAACGCTGTGTGTCTCTGTCAAGAGGAAATATTACACTAGGGTTTAAACCAGAAAAGGTCATAGGTTATGTGTTTTCAGTGAGCTGTAACTGATGGTCTGATCTGCTTAGAGGTAGGATTAACCTCCCTCTCTCTCAGAAAGGACTTGCAGAGAATTGTTTGCTTGGGTTTCTAATCTTATTTTACCCCAAATGCCATGTGCCCTTATTGGTGGCAGAGGAGATTCTTGTGGTAGTGGAATCAGTGAAAAGCTGGTAGATCACACAAGAAGCCTCTGAATGAAGGCAGAATTGAAACTGGGAAATAAAGAAAACAGCAGGCAGGTCACCCTCTCAGGAAAACAACATTCATTCTCAGTCATGCACATCCTAACACTTTTGATGGCAATTTATCATGGAAGACTGGGTTCACCGCAAGGGCTAACACATGTCATAGGTTAAATCAGAAAAGGCAATACTGAAAGGAAACTTCAAAGTCCTTAATACACAGAGTTAAATATGTTGGGGGAAAGCTTACGATGTTTGTTATAAAGATATGAGTAAACAGCATGCTGGAGGAATTTTGGCAAAACGTAGTGTGATTGTTTTGCCTATTTAAGGCACCATTTGTGTCGTTGCAATGGCTCTGAAGAATACAACCATAACTTGCAGAAAGTGGAACAGGTTGAGTTAACAGGCCTTCAGTTCTAATTGCTGCGGATCGATATGTAGAATTAGATATATCTACTTGTGGTATGGTTTAATGCCTGGGGGGAAGTTACCTTTCCCCACCGGAGACGTGATCCCACTTGGAGCTTTATGCTTTTAATTCACAACAAAGCCTGTGCAAGAGGCAAGGTCCTCGTGCTCTCCAGAACACTGACGGTAGGATTGTGTGCGCGTTCAGCTACGAGAAAGTGATTTTGAAGCAAGGGAAAG